CGAAAAAGTCCCTAAAAAACCCAAAACATTTAAAAAGTCCTGTCATGACTTAATTTAAGGCCTGTGAGTAACGTATTTAACCCTGCTGCCGTCTTTGCGTGACGATCAAATGTCACGGCCGGACAGCGGAGAAGTGTCCAGTCGTCAGACTGTCAGTTCCAGAAACAACAACAAAAAAAAAACACCAGTGTGATCCAGCAGAGGTAAAACTTATCCCAATGACTCCTATATATTTTACGACCAAGTGAGGGCTAAGGTCAACTTCCTGTTCAAATGTAAGATTTTTAAGGCCTTATTTTAGAGACAAATCTAAGACTTTTTAAAGATGCATGGGCAACTTGATGTTTGTCACTTCTAAATGCAAAGTATTTGATTGTATATTCATGTGGTAAACAGACCAACACAAAGAGGAGAATCATGGAAAGTGAAATGGTAAATGGACTGAATCAGTATGGCATGTATGACTAGCTTTTCCAGTTATACTTGCCATGGAAAGTGCTGTATGCTACTGCCGCGCTCGTTCATTCACAGTCAAGCACGCACACATTCAAACGGATAAGTAAAGGTGGGTTGAGCGCCTTGCCCAGAGGCACATCGACATGTGGCAGGGAGAGGCTGGAATCAAGGCTCTCAACTTTCTATTGCAGTTCAGATTTTCTACCCTCTGAGCCACAATCACCCAAATTACTTTTTTACAAATAGATATTGGCAGTGTAGTCTATTTTCCTTCAGAAGTCACTAAATTAGTGGATAAAATTCCACTGTGTGTGAGTTAAACAGCCGTTACAGACAGAGCTACAATTGGACGTCTTAGACTGAGTCATGTTAATGTGTTGGGATGGCCCAGTCAAAGCCCAAACCAAAAATCAATTTAAAAGTTGTGGCAAAACTTGAAAAATGATGCTCAGTTGTTGTTTTTTTTAAATGAAAATAAATACCAATTTGACTTAACAATTATACGCAACTCTGTATTGGTCTGTCACCCAAAAAAATAAAATCAAACAATTATATTATATGATGAAGTTTGAAGCGAATATTTTTCTAAGGCTTTTTGCATTTTCTGCAATCAGAAACACATTTTCTTTCACATTAAACTCCCCGGCAGTTTGAAGTGTTGCAGCTGAACACCCATCAAATAATTTCCCCTGACAAAATTATTTGGCTACAACTAAACCAGAGTTTTGATTTCTAAAACGTAAACACAGGTGCAAGCAGGAGAGGAGTGAATGAAGTCGTCTGAGTTTATCCAGTCCCGCCTGAGCTACAACGCATTGAGCTCAAAATGAAACCCGCCGTCTGATCGGTCGCAACGTGTAATCTGCAACCGCCGCCAGGACCATAAAACGACAGCGGAAACAAACAGAGCAAAGGACGGGCGGAAAACAAAAGGAGAGGAAACCCAGCCGATGACGTACGGCCCTTTCTACAAAATAGGACACATGGAGGAGCAGACATAATCCAGCCGGTGTCACACAAGTCGTTGTTGTGTCTGAATATTGGAAAAGCACGTAAATTTCTCGTTGCATCCATAATCAAAAACATTTCCCTTTTGGTTTCTAAGAGCCACAGGTTGCAGACCCCTGATCTGAGCTGCCAACACCAGACAATTGAAAACATACAAAAATTGAAAACATAGAAATTTAAGATTCACATAAATCACCAGCTGAGTAGCTCTGCCTAAAAAAACAAAGAAGGCCGAATTATGAATTGAAGTACGCCATTTTTAATAGCAGCACAGTAATTTATGGTGTAATTTATCCCTTTCTTTACAGTATAAAATTCTTAATTTAGGTTTTTTTTTAATATTTTTTTTTTATTATTTTTGTGTGAATCTAGGTCTCTTTTCACACCTGAATTTTCCCACAGTGGCACGATAAAGCACCTTTCTACTCCATTCTGCTACTGATAAAGGATGGAAAAGCGGTTGCTTTGCTGGACATTTTATTGACGGTCGATCAGACAGATAATCAATAACTTCCCAGCAAACTGTCTGCTCAGGGCGGCGCCCTCGAATGCACCCGGCTGCTCGCTCTGCTGCGTGCCTGGTGCACCAGCAGGGAGTGAAGGCGCTCTTTCCCTTTCCCATGCTTTAAGACTGGCATTCAAGGAAACCACACTGAGCATGTGCAGAGAAGTAATTACGTGTTAAAGTCAGAGCAAGAACGGGTAAACACAAACATCCAGTCAGGCCAAAAGACTTGGGGCTGCACAGAGGTTTTCCTCCAGATGGACAATAACGCTAAACATTCAACCAGATCCACACTGGAATATATTCATACGCTAGAACAGCCTAGTCAAAGTTCAAATCTAAATTCAACTAATAATCTGTGGTGAGCTTTGACAATTGATGTATAAAGACAATCTCCAATAAAGATAAATGCGTCCCAGCTGTGTCGCAATGGAAAACGTAAAAAGGTGAAACAAAAGAGCTTCGGCAGCGAGAGATATTTCTACTAATTACTGATTAATGCATGCCACAATTCTCAAATTTAAATTAATCAAAACACAGAGTATAAAGTGTGCAGAAATGTTCAAGGGTTGCAAATACTTTAGCAAGGCACTGCATCTGTGTTTGTGCTTTCTATGACGTGAACTCCACATTCAACGGCCGTTCTTATCTCACAGCCGTAAATCTGTCCCTGGCGCTATTCACAGTACGTCACTAGAACTATGCATACAAACACACACACCTTCCACCGCTGTCCAGCTCTGAACGGTTACACGCTCTTCAGTGGGAGACGAGCCTTAAGTCAATACCGCAGAGCAAATATCCAAGGATGGTGGGCGTGTTGTAAAATGCCCAAGCACCTGTTCAAAGGGCGCCGCACAGAACAGCATAATGGCCTGCTGTGTTTACGTGAGCCATGTGAACATGTCACAGTACACAAGGACCAATGGGCGGACGTTAGAGTGATGCGATGCAAGGATTAAGAAATTCAAAAAGGCAAATGAAAGGGAAACAGATTTTAAAAGTTTTTCGAACGGTTGCCAATTACAACGACAGCCGTAACTCTCAACCAGCAAAACCACAAGTTAATAAACCAGCACATTGTTGTACGTTTCACTTTGTACAGAAGGTCCGGATTATTGGCTATTGAGAAACGACTCCTTCCCCGAGGCGTAGACTCTGTTGAAATTTAAAATCTTATCCAATGGCTAACATTTGGCCTTGATTCATGTGACGTGCCAGTTGGATGATAAGAAGCTTGCAGCGTAAACAACCACGGTCCACTGCGAAGAGAGATGTGCCGAGCTGAACCAGATTGTTGTCAAAGTCAATTCAATTGGAACATGGACTGAACTGGTTTGTTCACTTCATGCTAAAACTGAAGGCAGACTACAATTCTAAAACAGAAAATCAACATCATTGTTCACAACTTGTGTTTGCTGGTAGAAAATCTACTGAAGAAATCCTCTTCTATTAGCCCGGCCATTGCCTTCTTGCACAATTCCACTTGATTCAAATCTCCCTGCTACATCTGGACTTTATCCCACTTACTTGGATTACCAAGCCAATGGGTGAACAGAAGAAGTGAACGATGACGTCAACTTTCTGCGCTGCTTTAGAATCGTAGTCTGCCTGTAGTTTTTTTAACTGGCAGTGGAGGGACTGAACAAAGTCATTCAGTTTGTGTCGGCCACACTTTCAAAAACTGAATTGTCATTAACCGCCATCTTTATTCGACTCAGCATGTCTCTCTTTGCATTGGAGGACAGTTGCTTACAGCCCAGGCAATTTCCGGTAAGCTTCAAAGTGTCAAACTGGCGCATTACAAACATCACAGGCAAACGTTAGTGGTTGGGTAAAAATCAAAACTTCAACAGAAGAGACGCCTGCAGAAAGCAATCATTTCTCAACAGCCAAGGGTCCAGACCCTCTGAATGAAGCAAAGCCTAGAATATGGGTCTGGTTTTTATCAGACTACACTTCATCAGCTTTGAAGAAATATTAGAATGGAGCAGAATTGCACAGGAAGGCAATAGGCTGGCTAATGGCACATCAGAGGCTCAAGAGAGCAAAATTTATTGTGTTTGCTCATATTTCTAATCAAAAAGTGACTTAATTATGAGAAAACACGACCAGATTTGAGCAGTCAGAGTTTCGACAACGAGCCTGAGCGGGGGCGTGGCGGCTGGTGGTTTCATCGCGGCTTCAGTGAACTGCTGCGATTCTGCTGCCAGTTTCTCAACATCAACACACACGGTTGCACACTGGCGCAAGTGATGCAGTCGCTGCTGGAACTGATTGAGACATGTCTTGATCAGGGCAGAGTAACGGAACAGAGAGAGAAAACGAGAAGCGATTGCTCAAGTATTCGCAGGTGGCGCGAACGGTTTTAAGTTGCATCTGCCGGCAGTTTGAAGGTTAAACCGGAAAATGAAGTAGGAAAACACTTAAAAACATTTAGTTTAGCGTAACTATATTTCACACCCTGTATTTCACATTGCTCTGAATAGCCTTCAGTCAGCCACAACAGGGCAATTAAATAAATACTTTCACCCTAATGTTTACACCTGGAGGCGAGTACTTGGCTCAGTGGAGGAATTTGAAGCACACAGACGTGGGCAGGGCACACAAATCCCACCAAGTAAAACACCTGTGGCAGCCGAAGCATTCCAGTCCATTTCCTTAATAATTAATCACAGTTCCAGTGTGAGCTTACATGTTTCCCCGCCACAATAAAATTCATGAGGGACCTATATGATGACTAACAACTTTTAATGAGCACATATCACATTGAAAGTGTTTTTATTACAGCTTTCTGAACTACATGACATGAAGCTGCACATCCGAGGCCTTTCACCTCACCGGCTCTGGTTGTAAAGCCAAAACAAGGCCGTGGGGGTCTGACCCAGCAAACAACCACTTAGCTGATGTTGTCCTGATCTCCCAAAAGTAAGGAGTTTGGGTCCAATTTATTGGTGCAACCCTAATAATACATTTCCGCATCTTGACGTAGCCTGGATGAACTTGTCCGCGTTTCCTGCTTTGCACTTACTGGGCTCTGTAGAATCTGTGTGACACGTTTCTTCTGCTCCAGAACGTTAAAATCCTGCCGGAGGTCAGGCGACATGTTTCTGGCTCTGATGTACTCTGGATCGTTGACGTTGACCCGGTCAAAATAGCGCTCCTTGGTGCCGCCGGTGGGCGGCGGAGGAGTGGTCACCACCGCCTGATGGCCGTCCGCACTCATGTCTGCTTCACCTTCGCCGCTTTGCCTGTGGCTGCCGCTTCGACCCCTTTACCTGGAAGCCAAAAGGAGAGACATTAAAGAATATGCTTTGCTTTACCTCAAAGATAACAAGCTATCGGTTCTCTCAGAGCAAAGGATCCGAGGTGAGAAGAGCAGAACTACAACAATGTTGGATTGCAAATCCTGCAATCAGAACAGTTCAGAGATTTGTTTTCTGGGAGTAAAAGTGCCAGACTGCATTTTTCTAAGTTCATTTATTTGCTTCTTTATTTCAAGTGCAAAGACTACGTGCAAATAAGAGTGATCAACAAGCATTTTTCAGGCCCTTGAACCTTTCCACATTTTGTCACGTTAAAATCTGAACAAACTGTGGAGCTTTTCTTTGATTTTTTTCCAAATTGCTAACAGTAAACAAATGTAGGGACCTGTACCATTAGTTAGAATGAGCTTCGCCTGTGACTGCAGCTGTACAACTTTGGTTTTTCTCTACATGCTCCTCTATAAAATACAAATTTGAGGAGTGCATGACTGATACTTATGCTGTTTACAGGTTCTTCCATCTACCACCCTGCTGTTGCCAAATTAAAGACTTTATCACTGTTTTTAGTAACTTTTCAGACAAAAGAAAAAAAAAAAACAGTATCGGCCAAAATTGGAATTGACAAGTCAGGATTTTCACAGATCAGTGGTCGGCCAGAAAACTGCAATCGTTGAGCCCCTACTTTTAACAAGCTCCTACACCTTTCTGAAAAGGTACTCATAAGTTAGTTCTGTCTAGTACATTAATACACAGACCGGAAACCAGACACCCAGGAAACCAGACCAAAAATACTTTTTCAGATTTTGTTGTTTTGCATTACTCTGGGCCCAGCCCTACCCAGAGTAATGGAAAACGCCAGGCATAGGAGAATCAGATTAAACAGCAAACAAGATAATGACTCGTCTGTCATTGGCAGATGAGACGAACAGCATCGTGCTGTGCGCTCGTCGAACAGGAAGGGACAGGCCCTTTAATCGGCCCTCAGAGAGGTACGTTTCATTGTGTTGATGCCGTGTCCCAACAGCGGAGGTTTTGTTTCATGCGCACACACACCCACACCCACACACACACGTCACCAGTACGTGCAGGTCATTCAGAGGGGAGAACGTGCAGGCCTTGACCAGTTTGGGAGCTGGTTTACTCCCACTGTTCATTCTCAGGTCAGCTGGCATGACAACAAGTTCTCTGCAGGATGCACGAGTTGCTGCAAGTTCGTTAAAAAAAAAAAGGAAAGGCTTTGTAGCTTTGCCAAAAGGAAAATAAAAAGAAAATAGAAAATCTAAAAAAAAAAAAAAAAAAAAAAAAAGATTGTCCAGGAGTTGATGGCTTCTGTTAGTAATCAGGTAGTGAATTAGGAAGAGGTGGAGCTAAGAAAATGCTGCCAGATGGTTTGAAGGAAAGCAGGAAAGAATTAAAGAAGCATATCCCACTGATTTCTGTCTTTAGCAACACGACAAGGTTGCAATTTCGTCCTCGCAGTTCCACAAGTGACTCCTTCTGTGGTTTACAGCCTCACTGATGTCACCTCAGTAGGTGAGAGGAAGGTAAAAACGGGGGTGAGGGGTTATTTGGTTTGACAAATGCCACTAAGCAGCTCATTCCGGTCAAATGCCACTTACAGAGATGGCTGGGATTAGCCAAGCGACACGTAGCTCAGCTACATTCTCAGACAAAATAAACCCTCCCACATGGAGAGACGTCGACTCGATAAGAGTCTGTGATAACATTCAACACATTTATGACCAAATACTTTAACATGACGACTTTAAATCAATCAGGTTTTTTTTGTTGCTGCTATTTTGTCCCATTTAAAGAGATCAAGCAAGAATAAAACTAAGAACAAAACTGAAGTTTTATGTGTGTGGAGGAAAACCGATGAGGATCCAAATAACTCAAACCCCCAATGATACATAGTGGTGACAGCATCATGCTGTGGGGATGCCTGTCTTCAGTAGGGACAGGGAAGCTGTAAAAAGACAATGGATGTTCACCTTCCAGTCGGATGACAACCCGAAACAGTCCGAGACACAATGAAGTAGTTTGGATCAAAACATCTTAAAGTGTTAAAAAAACAAGTCTAGTTAAAGTCCAGAATTCGACTGCAACCAAGCAATATGAATAAGCCTGTTGCAATAAGCAATCAATCAAATAATGAATTAAAATGTGCTCAAAACTTTCCGTTCTGATAGATTTTCGAGGGGAATATTGTTTACAGATATTTCATCAAACGTCTCATTTTCGGTTTTGGTGAATGTTGTTTTTATTTCAATTTTATTTATTATTATGGGTTGTTGTGTTATTTTGGATAATTAAAACATATTCCAGTTCCGAGTTCACCGTCATTTACTAAATGAAAGTTTGCTGGTCTTGTGTTGTTATGCCATTATCAACACAATGTTTGAAAATGATCTTAAAACAATATTATCGTCTATCGCAATAATTTATGGAACAATTTATCGTCCAGAAAAATATGTTATCATGACAGACCAATGTACAAATGAAATTTCAAATATTGTCTGCAGGCACTCTCCATCCAGTCTGACAAAGCTTTAATTATTTTGCAAAGAAGAATGGTCAAAAGTTCAGATATATGTGGAAAACCTTTGTGGAATATCTCTACCAATATAACAGAGCATAAAAGACCATAAAAGATCTTCCAACAAAGAGCTGACTCAGAGAGTCTGAATGTCAACACGTTAGAGTACTTTTCTTTTGGAGAAATTGTCAAACTTCAAAGATATTCACAAACTTCACAAATCTGTCAAAATGTGGAAGCTTCAACAGATGACAAAACTTTTATTTTGCCAAAAACAAAACCCAGTTAAAACCTTCTGGGTGGACTTGGTACACACTGACAAAACACACAAATAGAAAAATATCAACCATCATCTCACTCAGAGGTAGAAACTGCACACACAAAGAGCCTTGAGCCACAACTTGTCATACACCCATTACTTCCTAAGTGGTTTTTACTTCTAAACATAAACCAGGAAAATAGGAAACATTGTACTTTTTAACCTTCTTCTCCATCTAAGACTGATTTATACCACAGAAATGAATAAAAGACCTCACAAGAAATCCCTCTGCAATTGAAGGCAGCTGGGGGGAATCGAGTTATGTAACCCGATGCAGAATTCATCATCCTTCCAGCAGAGCTCTGCTGACAGAGGACTCACATGAACAGAATATAATACAGCAAAAACAAAACAACTGAACCAAAGCAACAAAAAATACAAACTGAAGTGGGTGATTTAAGAGAGTATATCTGGGATGTTTTTTTTTTTTTGATACATTACTGTGCAGTTTTTGATCTGCTGGTGTTATCTTAAGATAAATCAAAGCCAAAAGTGAGCAAAAAAAAAAAAAAAAAAAAACAACAACAGCAGCAAAAAAAATCTTTCTAAAAAGGTATAAGTAGAATACTTTGTAAAACATCTGTCAGGAAAAGCCCAGGCTTGAAACTTGCTGCATGAGTGGGATTCTTGCATGGCTGAATGCAACAGTTGGAGCCTCACCAAAATAAAGTAACATCCCAACTCACACTCAGCTCCCAGCAAAACACACACACACGTTTCCATGGCTAGCTTTGTGGGGACTTTCCATTGACTTCCATTCTTTTCTACAGCCTAAACCTAACCCTAACCATTACATACCTAACCCTAACCAAAACTTAATCCACACCTTAGTCCTAAATCCAACCCCTGACCCAAAAACAGAGTTTCTACAAAAATACCTCCCAATGTGCCGGTCAATAGATAATTGTATTTCCAAATCCCGGAAATATTGAATGTCTCTGAGTTGAGGTGGAAAGTTCTTTGCTGCTTTTTGGTTTTGTTTGTGTTTCCCACACCACCGCAGGTGTTTGGTTCATTTGCACAAAGCACACAAAGACTGTTCTCTCTCGATCAAAATAAACTCAGTAACCCACTGGAAGTTTAGACACAACGGCCCGTTGACACTAGCGGACTTTGCTGGATGGGAATTGATCTGGACCTCGCAGATGTGCGGCTGATAGATGAGGCAGGCCGTGTTTACGGAAGGGCGCTGGAGAGCGACATTAGCCCCAGGCAAGGTTACCCCCACCTCTCACCCCGTGACCCTCAATGACCCTTTCTGCTGAACACGCCATGACAGCGATGCAAACAAAACAAGACTACCATGTTCACTCCAAGCCACAAAATCAATAAAACAACAGCATCACTGTAATTTCTGTCGTTGGATGAAAATGGAAGGTTTTTCATTACCAGTTTAAACAAAAAACAAGTTTTAATATCAGACAGCTCAGAGTCCTTTTCCTTCACAATTGAGTGATTCATTAAATTATCTTTTAAGTAAAAATTGATTATCTAAAACCCGATTTCCAAACTAAATGTCGGATTTAGTCTGGCACGTGACATTCTATCGTGTGAATGTGAATAAAGCTTTTTTGTTTTACTTAAAACGATGTGTTTTTGCATCATAAGGTTCTTATTAGCAGCAGAGGTGCATTCTAGTAGGACTGTTTACTGACATTTCATCAAAATCCAGTGCTTGTTATCAAGAAAAATATTAAGCAGGCACCGTCAACCAGATCCTGTAATGACTTGGTATTTTAGACAATTTTTCCACTAAACTGCATTGATGGACCAAACAGATGTATGGAAAAAATGGAGAGCCAATGTAACTTTATGCCTTCCTATCCATAAACGTTGTTTCCATTCGCAGAGGTTACGTAAACTCTGAGCTGACATTAAAACCAGACAACAATACAGATCACGTCACAAAGCAGACACCTTGATGTGGTTGTTGGTCATAACCAGTTACTTCCAAACAACCTCCAAAGTTGCACATTAGGGTTAATAACTCGAGCTAATCTCTATTTTCTTGTCGATGTCTATGATGCTATTTTATGCATTCACTGCTACTTTGAAAGAAAATCAACTTTTACTTAGTGGAGATGCTCCAACCTGGCTCATGTTTCCTCTTCTCCTTATTGGATAAATATGGCTGAACTGTTAGAGTTTGATATTTGGAACCAGTGTTTGCATGTCTCTACACAGATGTGCAACACGAGATCAAGAAATACTAATCTCATTCGCACCAATCACTGAACGAATTACGCAACACATGGTTCATTTCTTCTGGGAATGTGTTTATGCTGGAATGGAAACAGGGAAAAAAAGGCCCTAGTTCTTCAAGTCCTGCACACTCATTTGAAAAAACAAAACAAAACATGGGGTACTTTGTAGGAAGTATGGCAAAAGATTCACAATATGTGAAAATACACAACTAAGGAAAAATATGTTGTTAAAATAGCAATATATTCCATCAGGGGCCGAGTGGGGAAACACCTGGATTGTTATTCCTCATGATCAGGGACACATCAGCTGTCATTATCAGGCTTTGCCTCAAGGGGGCAGTGTTCTGTGTTAGAGAGGCAGCCTGCACAGATCTGGACGACAGTTGCAGACTGAGTCTCCCAGTCTGGTGCATCGGTCACTACTTCAGTGCAAAGCGATTCATTCAGAGGAACCTTCACTGACGGCCAGATATTATTAACGTTTCATTTTGAGGAATTCATTTTACCTCTATACATTCGTTTATTCAACTCTCTGATAAGTTCGTTCTACTTTCCTGAACTCCTGCCAGAGTTTTCTCCCCTATGTGGAGCACAGAGAGCTACCTCTGCTCCACATGTGGCTGTGCACTACCAGTCAGCTGGCTGAAAGATGTCAGACGTTTTTTTTTTTCCCTTTTCCCCGTAATTACAACAAAGGCACCCATATTACCAGTCACAACCGTAACATGGGTGCTTCTGATGTCCAACTCTGCTTCACTACATGTGTTATATATGTTATTACATTAGAAGCCCATTCAATTAAGCAACTGATCCGTATCTGGCCGATTCAATTTGCACCGTTAGAAACTCTCCCCATGGTGATATCAGGTTCGATGCCTCTTTCTAAGCTGTCCTTTATCCTCTATGTGACTTTTAGCGTAGTTGTCATTTGTGTGTGGTGTGAGCTTTTGCTGCTGTGAGACTCTGACCTACTGGCTAAACATTGCATCAGCATGAAAAATACAACTGAACAACTCTTAGGAAACTATTAGCCAACAATTCCAAACACATTTTCGTTCAACAAAACGTAGATATTGTACTGTAATAAATATGTTTGATTATTGATAAAGCAGCAGCTTTCTTGTTTCAGAAAACACAAGTAGATGTTAGTTTTAGATTGGACTCTAAATACCACAAAACTGAAGTATTTTTCCTCATAGTCATCATACACATTTGTCTTACTCTCACTGCACGTTACAGAGGCTTATTTTGAGGAAATAATTCCTTACTATTAATCGAAAATTCAATAGGCAGATTGATTAATTTATAACCTGCAAAAAATATCTTGTTATAAATGTAATAATCCTCCAATACAACAAGAACTATTTAATCAATATTAAGGAATTAATTACTTGAAACAAGCCTCTATATCTTGCTGAAAAGTATCTTGTAAGTTAGTATACTTGAAATAAATGAAACGAAGATATTTGCACTAGAAACAAGACCAAAAAAACTTGATAAGATTTTCTGTTTTTGTAGTGCGACATCAATAAAACCTGCAAGATGAACGGTGACGTCTTACATTACGATCTTTGGTCGATTTAGAGCATTTCACTCTTTTTAAACGACTTAAATTATTTTTTCATGTTATTTGGGGTTTTTTTTTATCTCCCTGGGGTTGTGCAGTGCAGTGAGTGTGAGTGCCAGTGCAACTCTCTGATAAGTTTTTGACCTAAACAAAAGCAGAGAAGTCACACCCAGTTGATGCATGGCTGCTTTCAATTTTCCGTAGTTATTTCAGCTGACAGAAATAGTCCTGCCCTCAATCTCTATCTACCTCACACTCCTGTTGTGTGTCTCTCAACCATTGCGCTGTACTGACAGGACAGGATCCAGAAGATACAAGCCACTGACCTAAGACCCGCACACCAGCTATTTACATTCATCGCAAGATAACCACCTAATCTGGAAAGTTGCTGCTGCACGGCAATATCTGCTGCTCCTCATGGTCTGGTGTGACTCATTGGGTTACTTTTTCTGTTTTAAATCAACATCTGTGCACAAACGACGAGAATCCATGATGACATTTCAGGTAGTCGCAAATGTCACTGAGAAAGGCATCAACCAACACCCTCCGTCTCTCCCTCACTGACACAAACACAATCCCCGTATCTTCAAAGCCGGCCTGCTTGCGTCTCCCTATAAATAGACGAAAGCACCCTTTTGGGTTCTGTCACCAGCCGACAGCAACAATGATGGAAACAAATCTTTACTTTGTTGATTAAATCCATGCAGAAGGCAGGACTGACGTGAGCCGAAGCTAATTCAAATTCAAGGGGGAAGTAAGGTTGATCTCCCTGCCTAAACACGCCTGCATAACGGATCAAAGCGGGAAAACCGCGAGGAAAGCGAGCGCGCCAAACACTCGGGCTTACGCGATGCGGCAGCGTCAACAAAACGTGACGAAAGTTTGTTTCCTCTGGTGCAATGAAACGTTTGGTTAGGGGTTGCGGAGCTGCATCTGGTTCTCATACGGATGTGTCATTTAATCAGCGTTCCATCTGTTTGCTTTTTTTGTTTTAAATGATGACCAAACTCAGTGCAACAGCTCCAGCTTCCTTCCACACAACCTCCAGAGATAATAATCAAGGCTAATCTGCACTGGCACTCACACTCACTGCACTGCGACTGCTAAGCGTGTTTATGGAGCAGGAGTGTTTCTCTCCGAGAGCAACATGGAATTCCCCCCAAAACTATAACCAGAGGTCGGTTCAAGTTCCCAGCCTGGTAGACGGAGAGATGGCCTTTCTGCAAAATGCAATGGGCATGGAGGAGTGCTGAGTGTGTGATCACAACACAAAAGGAAGTACAAAGGTTAAATCAAGTGCACTGACACAAAAGAGCGACATTTAAACTCGTAGCCTGGAGTCCGACCAACCTTATGTTTCCCTCTTCTGTCAGTGATTGGGAGAAAGCGGGCAGCAGAGGCTGAAACTCATGTCTCTGTGTTCACTCTGCTGCTGATCCGTGTCTGTACTCCAGATTCCAGCGGAGCAGCCGGGACGGACATACGCAAGAAAGAGGAAGAGCGGGATGACAGAGAGTGAAAGCCGTGTAGCTGACCAGAAAAAAGGAAGAAAAAAATAAAATAAAATCAAAACTAGTCGTCCAGATTTTTCCCGTACAGATGCTCTCCGGTGGAGCCGCCGATTCCTCCGGACTCCTGCAGCCGCTGCTCTCTGACGGCTCCGCTGCTCACCGGAGAGAGGAGTATAAACAGCTGTGTGTGTGTTTTGTGTGTGGAAAAGAAGCTAAAGGGACCACGTGATGCGGGCTTAATCCCCCGCCCACTGGCCTGGAGGTACACACACACACACACACACACACACACACACACACACACACACACACACACACACACACACACACACACACACACACACACACACACACACACACAACATATACAGACCAATCAGAGCTCAAGCTCACACACACACACACACACACACACACACACACACACACACACAACATATACAGACCAATCAGAGCTCAAGCTCACACACTAATCACCCCTCCTCCTCTGCTGCCTGCTCACCCTCTCTCTCTCTACTACACTGGTTTTTTTCAACACTTCTTTCCCTCTTGATCTATTCCTCTCCGATTCGTCTCCCACATTCCACAATCGCTGCTGTCCGTCTCCGTCTCCACATCCCTCTCCACCCCCGTTTGGCCCCTCCACCCCCCTCTGGGCAACTGCACTAAAGGTCAGTGTTTACGAGCCACACAACCTGCTGCAGCAGAAGCAACTGGATACCTTTTACTGCTGCGTCTGCTACTCCAAAGCAGGTTTATCCGACTCGCCGATGAACACACATTCAGGACCGCTTGGCTATTCTAAACGAAATGACACACATTCACGGTCAAAGGTCAAAAACCTTGTGAACATCGGCTTGAAGGTCAGAGATCGAACGCATGATTAGCCCGTTGATTTTTGTTAATGTCACAAAATGCCACTTACCCTTCAAGTTATACACAATCAGCTGAAAGCAGATAGAGGGCTGGAGCAACCAAACATAAACATAGATGTTCAAAAGAACTGGGTGGGTACTAAAAAAAAAAAAAAAAGGTAATCAGACATTTTTAAGTTTATTTTAAGTTGGATTGGTCTGAATCGGGCTTCAAACTGAGCAGTTGTGTTTGGTATCAGAATGGAATAATAAGAGGTTTAAACAAGTTATTAGAGGCAGTTGCAAATCATCTGTAAACTATTTAATACTAACCAGAATATTGTACATGCAGCATACAATATCCTGATGAAGTTTTCAGAAATGCAGGAAAACCAGGGTTGATTTCTTGGTGCGCCCCTAAAAATTATTTCTGCTTGTTCAGTAGCAGAAAGATACACATGGCTTCCCTGTGTATCTGCTGCATGATTATTCCATAGCATGCCAAGATGTAAATGTATGTCAACATTGACGACCACTAATGGTAGGAAATACAACTGGCATCTGTGGTTGACTTTTGCTTGCCGACTGTGATAGCCCTGCTTTTGTAGAATATTAGGGACAGGCAAAAATATCCTTTCTGTAATAATTTTTGTCTTAAGTTTGTAAGATCCTGATCCACATAGGCCGTTCTCCCACTCAGACACACAGTGTGACATCACCTCTGCTGTTAATATAAACAATCACTGACTGCCAACATTTAGAAATAAATATTTAAAGTGAGGCTCTAAAATTGGTGTCAGTAAGTCAAACCTGCAAAAAAAAGGATGAGCTTTAAACCAGCCAAGAAATATTCTGTACCATTCCCATGTTGGTGAAATACAACAAAGCTCCAAATGTGCAAAATGACTAAAAATTCCAACTTGCGCCTAGGTTGAGGTGACAAGATATAGTTTTATAGACAAACTACAAACTTTTTCATAAAAATTAGATGAAGAACTTGACCTGTAGAAGTGGCTGAACTCCTCAGGTGAGGAACCGTGCAGCGCTGATCGATCGCCGCGTTAAGCATGCTGGTGGGACAAACACTGCACCTGCATTTCCTCCTGTAATAACTGACTGTAATCCGGTTCACAAGTCAAATACGAGCGACGAGCCAAACAATCAAAACCTGTCAGCAATCTGTCAGCAAACGCCTGAATTACTGCGTCGCTGTTTGCTTGAAACAGACTCACTGACTCATTCATCTCAACAGCTCTCTGATTTGAACGTCTATCTCTGACAGGCAGTAGTTCACGTTTACGTAAAGCGGCACAAAGAAAAGTTCAGTTGTAAGTCTATGAGCCATCAGCCGCCATGTTTAGATAAATTTACAACTTTTACAGTGCTAATAAAGTGTGCTTGAACTCTTGCAGATGTCTTCACACCTGCTTTAGGTTACGAAGCCAAAGATGACTTGAGAAAAGTATAAAATGGAGTCATTTTGTATTTTTTTGTAGGATATCGACATGTGACGGCAGGAAGAATGGGAGGCAAAAACTTTTTCTTGATTTGAGGTTGATTTGAACAGCTTTTTACCTTTGAAAAGTCAATCAACTTTGAGCTGACTTTTGATATTTACAGGATTCAGTCTGAAGTTGATCTAAAACCTTAAATGTATGGAAAAAAAGCAAAAGAATAGAGAAAAAAATGTATATTGAGGCAAATACTTTTCCACAGTATCTGGAAATTTCTGGGATTTTCACCTTTTTTTCCTATGAAAGGATGTGTCTATAACTGTGTTTGATCTTTACTGGACTAAATATAAATTAAAATTGATGAGAAAAAAAACGGTTGCCAAAAGAAATCAGAAGACTGAAATATTTGCAATGACGCATTAAAAACAACACAAGGCAGCACAGAAAGTAGGAGTTGAACAAAAAAAATCTGCTGAGGCCGTTAGAAAAGCATGATCCATATTCTTTGGCTCACGTTCAAAAAAGACTCACAATATGTGATTTAGCAACTGTTTCCCTGACTAAACTGATATTTAAGCTCCAACTGCCTTGGAAACGATCACTGCTTTGACGGAATGAACCATCCAACTTATGCAAACGTTTGAGCGGGTGTCGGGTTACAAGCCAAAAGCTTTTAGGTTTACATGCCTTCGGTAATAAATAGCCGCAGTCCATTCTGAATGCATCACCTGATAACGTCGTAGACGGTAAAGGGTTGGGGGTTTTTTTTGGATTCGCTCCTGCAAGATAAACTGCATCAACACCACAGGAGACGCCACACCAATAAGCCCCACCGGATGATTCACGCCGAGCCTGAAAACCTGCCAATGCACAACCCCTGCATTGTTTTGTGACATCTCTGTCTGGACTTCTGTTATCAGTTCAAACCTGCCTCAGAGTGCACCGTTTGCCATACCTCATACTAAGTGGTGAGAACGCGTCATTGTTCATGCAAAAGATAAATCACAAGAAGAAGAAAAAGAACAAAGATAGGAGAGCAATGTTTCTGGAGGTTTGCCTCTGATTCAGTTCAAATGAATGAACTCAGGTTTACTCATTTTTGGGGAGGAAAACTTGTGACAAGAACAGAATTTCATCCTGATTTGGTTTTATATGCTGTAAGCCGGATTTTGGTTCATTACTTAATGGTATCTTTGGATAATCATCGTGATGTCAGAAGTCTGTGTTTCTGAGTTTCTACACAGCTTGGAAATCTGGAATATGATTTCAGTGTTTAAGTCCTAAGTATGAAAAAGGAAAATATCAGCATGAAACTTTTCTTTTCCTTTCTTTCTGCTTAACTGGCAACAAGCTCATTTTCGCCAGTTAATTGGGTGCAAACATCAAAGTCAGGGATTCCCTCAGTGTGTTATAAGCCTGGTGGGCAACCAGACGTTACTTGCCATCCCACCAGGCTGGGATGGCATACTCACAAACATGACAGACCGCTGGATGAATGACTGCCCTAGAAACCCATCACCAAGCTTAGCAGGTTTTCTGGGGGAAACCTGGAATCATTACAGATATTCTTGCATTCCGGCAAAAACTGGATGTTATGGGATCATTGGTTGTTAAGAAGCAGAAAGTTCTTCTCTCACTGCTTCATGCAGATCCTGATGGCGTGAAATGTTCCTGGAACGTTTCTCCCATTGTACGCTCAGGTTCAATGGAGCAGTTGCTTTGACTTCTATTCGTCAGAACAGGTGATTTCATCCTGGTTTTCCAGCCACAGTGTATGGTCCTTGCCATTTAGCTGGCAACTTACTTGGTCCTTTAGACAGAAGTACCAAATCCTGCTGGGCTTCTCAGTTTGACTCTCATCTATAGTGTGTAGGAGACGAGATGGATGGGGTGCAACTTAGAGAAGTTCTGCTCTGTGTGAAAAGACGACAATAAACTGGCTTTTTTTGAGTAATGGCTTCCCTTTTCCACACCACATCTCCCAGTGTAGCATTGGTTTTCTCTTAAAGAAGACCTCCGCTTCAAAAAAAAAAAAAAAAAGAAACCTACTCAACAAACTTGTACAGCTATTTATATAAAGACATCACACACTATGCACTGGGTACAGCTAAGCCCAAACTGTAACTTGACCCGACTCCACTTTGCTCCCATAGCTAAACTAAGACGTCAGCTATGCGTTTGTAATGAAGGACCTGCAGAGGTAATAAAAACGACACATTTTCACACCAACATATCATGAACACGTCTTAATTCCCGATATTTGGGTCCCGCTTTCAACGTAAAGGAAGCAGATTTCTTTGAACGGCGTCACATGAATGCGGAGAAATCAGGAGGGCAGCTGCTGGAGGGGCTGCAGACGGTTTGTATCAACAAACAAGAACTATGAACCAAAGGAGCACCACATGATTGCTTCACTTCTCCATCCAACTGTGACCTCTTCACGGCAAGGAACAATATTCTGCTCAGAGGAATTGCTCACGCAGCTGCTCTATGAAATTAAATTAGAAGAAAATCGCAAAGAAGGTAAATTTATTTGTACCCAGCAGCTTGACAGGAAGTGGAGCAGATAAAGCTGTTTTTTTTTTTTTTATTAGATTCATTATTTTAAAGTCGAGTCATTTCTGTAGCATATTTTAGCAACCAGGCAGTTCAAAGGGCTTTACACGATGGAAATATAACAAAATAAGCAAAGTAAAGAGAAGCAATGGGGAAAAAAAATGTAACAAAGACTAAAATTATTTCTGCCCCAATTTAAACAAGCTGCTCATGATGGAAAATTAAACAAAAATCTAAATGACGTCTTCATATATAGATTTTATTTTGTTTTCCTCTTGAATGAAAATTCTCAGATCACCTATTTTTTTACTTTGAAAACTTAAACCTTTATTTTCTTCACAAAACAAGTTCAGCACTGATGCAGCCCGCTGCAAATCCAGCAGGGACAACTTGGAGACGTCGTTCCTGCGCTCACGTCCTCCTGCTCGAAAACAGCCAGCTTGTCTCTGAACATAAAGTAATTACAGCCCAGGAGGAACCAAAACAACTGCTTTTGCTTCAGCTTGACTCATGTG